GGGGGACCCATAGCCGGTCGCTGCAGAAAAAGCTGATGATGTCAGTATGCACACAGTCATCCCAAGAATGACGTCATCCAGACAGTGTAGTAGAAGAAAGCTCTGGTGTTTTGAAGCTGGGGTCAGGTGTTTTCGTCAGCCACGACCCAGCCGAATCAGCGTTGCAAGAGACGCACAATTACTGCAAGCGTGTCCGTGAGGGTGAGGCCTCTTCTCGACTCCATCTTCAGAAGAAGGTATCATGTCCCACAAAGGATATATGTTTACATGTATATCGAAGAAAAGAAAAGATCCCAAGAGATTTCGGAATCCGGTATTAAGCTACGACAAGAAAAACGACCAATTCACTTACAGGAAACGAGAAAAGGCATCCGTTTCCAAGAAGAATTGCAACACATAAAGGACTAGGACATGTTTTGTGTAAATATATTGATTGGGCTTAGGTTAGGGCTTCCTCCATGACGCGTCTCTCCAATCGGTATTCCCTTGGGTCTCCTCAATTCCATTCTTATATTTTGTGACAACAAGTGTTCCAATTTGTCCAAATTGAGTGAGTTGGAAGACGCAATGAACTCGGCCGCCCGTTTATTGGTTTTTATCCCCCACGCGCCAAACGTTTCCATTTCGGTTTCTCATTGATTTTCCCGAGACCGATAAAATCAATCCCTCGCTACCAATTTCCTCTTCCACTCTCCACCGCGTCTTCCTGCCCAAATTTCCAGATCTCGCTGGATTGGATCACAAATGTCGCGCTACGATTCTAATCCGTTTGAAGAGGACACGGTCAATCCTTTCGCGGTAATGTTTAGGTTTTGATGCGATGCTAAACTCTTGGGGCTGTGATTTGGATTCGTTTGGGATCCTTGCGCTTGGGCTTTTTGCTTGTGCTTTCTTTCAATTGCATTCTCAGATCTGCTTCTTCTGTTTCTGATTTCCTCAATACGCTTTGCAACTGGTGAAACTATTCCACTGCTTGGGATCGAATTTTGTTCTAGAGTGCCGTAACTCCAGCGAGGCTGGTGGGACTCGGGTTCTTTCGTATCTTGTGGTTATTCTGCGGGAATTTGAATCGGCTCTATTACAAAATGGAAAAACTGCAAAGAGCCTCACGTAATTGTAAAGAAACTAGTAAAGTCTGACGCTTGTTGAAATTTTCGTTGTGATGATCGGTGTTCTCTGTCTGTATTCCGGTATAATGTAAGGTTTTTGGCCCCCCGTTGTATACATCATATGCTTACGCCACATCGATGTTCGTAATTTGGCCTTTACGTAAAAAAGTTGAATTGAAAGCATCATCAGAAATTATGACTCGTTCCAAGGTGCTGATTGATATGTTTTATCTTTGTGATAAATTGTTTTGGACTTCCAGAATCCCGGAACGGTTCCTCCTGCAACCTCAAAGCTTTCACCTCTTCCACCTGAGCCATATGACCGTGGAGCCACAGTTGATATTCCTCTTGACTCTGGAAAGGTGCCTCTAACTGCCTAGTATACCTTACAATCTCCCTCTGTGCCAAAATTGACTCTTGCCAACCTCTAGGATCTGAAAGCTAAAGAGAAAGAACTTCAGGCAAAAGAGGCTGAATTGAAGAGGCGAGAGCAGGTAAAATCTTTTGTGTCAGGTATCAACCTTGTCATTTTCATTTGGCTGGAGCTCACAATTTTGTCAACGTTAAATTGTATCTTATTTCAACTCCCATCTTATCCAATTAATGGTTAGTAATTGTAATCTCCCAACTCCCAAGTGCATATCTGCGTGGTTTATGAAATTCGCTCTTGTTGTTGTTCAGGAACTAAAACGCAAAGAAGATGCAATAGCACAAGGTATCTTCATCACTTTTATTTGTGGCAACTTGATACGTGGATCCATGCGAAAGCTCATGCGTCATCTTCCTTTTTTGTAGCTGGGATTGTGATAGAGGAAAAAAATTGGCCTCCATTTTTTCCTGTCATTCATCATGACATTGCAAATGAGATACCCATCCATCTGCAGAGGATACAATATGTTGCATTCACCTCATTGTTAGGTATGAGCATGTGCTTTTCTACTTATCTATGTCAAAGCTTCACTGTTAAAAAAAAAAGTGGTTTGTTGATTATTGTCTACCCTATTTGTGTCTGTTTTTGCAGGTCTTGTGATGTGCCTGTTATGGAACGTTGTTGCTGTTACCACTGCATGGATTAAGGGAGAAGGTTGGTCTTGGAGCCCTCTCCGTTTGCCAAATTGGCCTTGTCTATACACTCATGTATTCTGCTGTAGGTCCAACAATATGGTTTCTTGCCATTATCTATTTCATATCTGGGGTTCCTGGAGCTTATGTTATGTGGTACCGGCCTCTTTACCGTGCCATGAGGTACTTGCCATACATTCATACCTTTTAGAATATATTTATACGCTCTGTTCCTCATGCATTGTGCTTGTGATCCAATAAATTTCCACCACGATATTCTAGAACCGGTTACTAGTTACATGAGAGTATTGGCCCATTTTACAGGACTGACAGTGCTCTGAAGTTTGGCTGGTTTTTCTTGTCGTATCTGGTGAGTAGTCCAGCGTTTCAGATGCTTGTTGGCATGTTATATCTGCAAAATGAGTAAACCTTTAGCATAGGTTGTCAATGAATGCAGTTCCATATTGGGTTTTGTGTCTTTGCTGCTGTTGCTCCTCCCATCATCTTCAAAGGCAAGTCGCTCACGTAAGTTTTTCTGAACCAATACTGACAAAACACAGTACTTTACAGCGAGTACGCCATGATTTTACTCGATTGCCTATGTTGATGTGTTTCTATGGTACACACAGGGGTATCTTGCCTGCCATAGATGTCTTGAGCGGGAATATCTTGGTCGGGGTAAAGTTCAAAAATTACATTTCAAATATTTGGGTTTGGGAACATTGGTGGTGATTCTGCTAACTTCTTCTTTTTTTCATTTGGGGGGGGGGGGG